CACTTATTAATAACTATACTATTCATGCACTATTTTTGAGGTATCTCGATCTGTCCCATAATAACATAGAGAAGCTTCCTAGTTCAATTACAAAGCTTTTCCACTTGCAGACGTTGAAACTATCCCAATGTACTATTCATGCCACGTGGGATAGGCAAGTTGAAACTGTGAATGTGATGTGAGTTAGGATTCCTAGCGGCTAGCGTAAAGAACCAATCCGTACGGTGCCTTCTTTTATTTTTTAATTAATAGTTATTTACAGTTAACTAAACTGTAACTTAAATAAGTACAGTTTTTTAAAACTGAATTAAAAAATAGTTTAATACAGTTTTATTTTAATCAGTTTTAGTTTTTTAGTTTAAAATAAATCAATTATTTAACAGTTTTAGTTCAGTTTAATTAATTTTGCCCAGCCCTATATATTGCGTTTTGGGTTTAGGTCATGTGTTAATTTTGCATCTAGAATTGCCCGTTCTGAAACCAGAACGGTCCGTTCTGCTTGCACTCGTCGTGTGTTAATTTCGCATCTGGAACGACCTGTTCTTAAATCATCTGGAACAACCCATTCCAGATGTAAAATTAACACACAACGAGTGCAAGCAGAATGGGCCATTTTGGTTTGAGAACGGACCGTTTCAAATGCAAAATTAACACATGACATAAACCCAAAACGCAAAAAAAATGTGTATATATATATATATATATATATTATATAACGCTGCTTAAAATTCGATTTTCGGGGAACCAAATTCTTAACATAAATAATAAATCATGCTACTCTTGTAAATAATGTGTAACAGGTGATTTTTGAGTAATTTTTAAAAAAAAAATTCTATTCCCATAAAAAATTCGTCATTTATTAAGTTTAAAGTGAATTGAGAAAAATAAGTATGTGACAAATACAAAATTCATTATAATATCGAGCGTATCTGCCTTAAATTAGATGTCTTTTAAATTAATATACATATTTTAAAGAACTATTAAGTATACAAATTATCGTGATA